CTTTACAATATTACTGTTACAAATTACAATATTATTTATACAAATTCCGAAAATATCAATAATGCCAATATCACAACTGGAGCTGATGTTTTAAAGAGAAAAGAAATTGGTGCGCACAGATCCAGTTGCAGCATGAACCGCTCCGATTTTGGATGGAGCTGGGAAATGACCAAGGATAGAACTTCAAAGACTCTGAGTCATGCCCTTCGCTGGCAAACCTGGTGCCACAACCCTCGCTTTCCTCCAAGAAACAAAGAAAGGGAGGAGAGGAGGATCTGCTGCCAACGGATTTATATAATACGCTTAACAAAAAACAAAAAGAACATTAATACTGCAATCACTGATGACCCATGAGGATTTGAACGGTTTATCGGCGGCTAGAAGCGGTGCGGTTAGCCAGGCCGCAGACATCAAAACTTATGTTTTGGCGTTAATTTATACGTCTATGTTTGACAGCATACCATGACATAGGAACAATACCAGATCAAACGAACAGAGAGGGGAGGGGGAAGTTTTCCACACTGTTTTAAATAACACGAGAGGATCGAAAAAAAAAGTCACGAAGATTACAGGGAAAACAGTTTGACAGGGGGACCTCACAGGACGGCTAAAGCGCACCGTAACCATACAGCAATAAGCTTACGAGGCATTATATACAACGTGCTGGCAACTCATCACAGTGGCCTCGCCTGGGCCAACAAAACAATGCTAGAAATCGTCATAAAACACCCTCTGAGGAAGGCCTTCATGAGAGTATACATATCTGTAGGGATTCAAAGTCAATTTTGTCCGCCATATAAAAAAAGAAAAAAACGCTACGTCAGAGAGTCACCACGCGTAATCTGTGAATACGACAACGAAAGCAAACAAGCACAACAGGTAGAAGACAACGATGACCGGATTTCGCACGTTTAACGCTATAACTCTGCCAAGCAGAATGCAAAGCACTCCAAGTGCATTTCTTGAAATGATAGAAAATAACTGCAATATTGGAGGATTAGTTGATATTAGTAGAAAAAAAAAAAACAATTCTCTCCTCGAATCTCGTCGAATTTGCACCGCACAGATCCCAATCTGGCCAATTTTTATCGGTAAGAAACATGACCCTCGCGCCTGCTGATGCAACGGCAGAAAGGAATACAGTGCAAGTGCACCCACACAGTACAATGCAACGCAACAAAAGACAGAATGTGCAC